CTTCTGCGTGGACCCTTTTCATCCACCCGCTTATTGCACGTCCTTTGTTGAGACGAGGGCTCGACGTAGGTAGTGTATCCAGATTGCTCGATTCCCCGCTTCTCTGTTCCTGGTGTGGGGTGGTCATGTTGGTTGCAGTACATGTTTGCAGCACCCCATCTGGAACAGTGTAGTACTATTTGATTCTGACGATCTGAAGATATCTGGATTTGAACGTGGGTCTGTATTTCAACAGTTTGTGGGTGTACAAACTGAGCAAGACTCGTTGTTGGTATACTGCTCTCCATTCTGCTTTCGTCGTATTCCCAGTCTTCAGTGGAGTCAGGCTTATAGACCAGAGGATCACGAATTCGCCGAGACGTGCCATTAGATCACATATACAGACGAATCAGAGACGATATATATCTTCATAATTATTTCGCCTTATGAAGTGAAACAAAGCAGATCCGGTGGGGCAAAAGCAAAAAGAAGCAGATTCGGTGGACCAAGAGCGGATGTGTCCGCTACTGATGGGCAACAGTACATCTGTGACTGATAGGTAGCCAGTTGTATTCGAGGGCTGCATAGACCGCCTAATAAGGCGGCTATACATTACAAATAATCCAGCGGGACATAGAAGCAGGCATGGAATGTTCTACCATTTGGCGTAGCTCAGTTGGTAATATAGTACATATACCCATGGACTGTTGAAATACAGGCCTGAGTTCGAATCCAGATGGAGCCAGATGAATAAAAAATTAAAAATAAACTTATTCTGAATAACCTGGGGCCGCTCCGTTCGACAAGGATATCTCAAGGCTGAAGCCTTTCTTTTTTAAAAGAAAAAAAAGATAGACTGGAATGTCCTGAGGGAATGTATATATGGTCCCAAGTGCTCCTGTGAGGGCAGGTGTCGCATACGTCTGTGATGACAGGTATGGAGTAGACCCAAGAATCACCAGAGCAGAGAGAAACCMCCCCCCCCCCCCAAAAAAAAAAGACATTACAACACACCGGAAGTCCAGAATCAACCAATTTGACTCACAGAAACCAGAAGTCTGATAATGCACTTCATCGGTCTTCATCACAAGCAGTGGGATTGCAAGGAGGGAGGCATTCATGGAAGAAAGGCTGCTCCTTTACGCAATAATTGGGAGAAACTATGGATGACGAGGGGGTAGGGACAAGGAAGACGAAGAGGAGGATGGAGGTAAACGGGCAGACGAGAAGCCCAGATACAAGTATCGAAATAATAGTAATCCCTCCTTCACTCGAGGTCCGACCTCAATTGCCTCTCAACACAATGTCGGAGTCTGAACTGGGAGACGTCTCCCGAAGTGATGATGGTGCAATCTCTCTCTCTCTCTCTCTCTCTCTCTCTCTCTCTCTCTCTCTCTCTCTCTCTCTCTCTCTCTCTCTCTCTCTCTCTCTCTCACTATGTACCTCACACGTAACAACCGAATGTCACCCTTGTCTTCCCCTCACTACGTACCCCACACATAACAACCGACCACCCCCTAAATGCGAGGGAACCGCTAATCGTTTACACCGGTGGGCGACTCCATTTGAATGTCACCCTTGTCTTCCCCWCMCWACATACCCCACACATAACAACCGACCACCCCCTAAATGCGAGGGAACCCCTAATCGTTTACACCGGTGGGCGACTCCATTTGGTCAGAACCGGCACCCAATCTCCCCACAATCCTTCCCTTTTTTTTTCTTTTTTTTTTTCTTTTTCTTTGGACAAGTCTCCAATCCTCCAGACTTTCGAGAGAAATTCACCAATCCGAGAGAAATTCACCAATGCGCTATCAAAGAATTCATCAGGGTAACCTCTCCTCCACAACTCACTCTTCAGAGAAATTAGTAATGGCAACGCCATCCATTTCAAAGAAGAAAAGGCTTTTGCCGTCTGGAGGAAGGACGAAATGACCGCAAACTTCTGTTGACGGTTCGTAAAAGACAAGTAATCCTGGATACAATGAGAAATCAATCTCCCGTTAACGTCCCCCGTCTGATTCTTGATCGTGGGAATACACACAACCCCATTCTTACCCTTACAAACCCTCAAAACACATCCCAAATAATCACATATCTTGCCATCGCTCGTTCGTTCAAGGACAAGATTGCCATCGTAACGTCAACTAAAAGCATCGATCAAGTGATAGATAACACCTAACCTTCTCGCTTACAACATCCTTCTTAGAAATTGCGAACACCGACACGTCATCAACAAGCCGGAAACCACGAAACTACACCCTATCACACCCAAGACTGCTGAGAAAAAAGAAGTCGTTATACGAACACAGCAAACAGGCCAACGCCGGACTCGTCGACTTACCCATAGGAATACCCACCGTCTGTCGGAGCAATCGACCTGCGGCAGAGACAAAGGTATGGCCAAGCTCAAAAGAGACGAAGTCCAAGATCGTCCGGAAGGACACACTTCTCCAACCCACTTCCAACCAGCCTTTCATTAAGTTGAACGCCTTTCGCCTGGGTCTTAACAGCCACCCCTTTCACACCCCTCTCCATCCAGAAGTCAACCACCCAGGTCAAAGCATCCATAATAGACTGATGCGGGAGATTTGAAAACATCTCCTTTACGTCGAACAAAGCACCGATGACTTCATTCTTACCAGTCAGTCCTCTGTTAACCATCGACACGCCTTTCAACAATTCATCAGCACTCCGGAGGTTCGAATTCGACCCAGCAGGCAGATTCCAAAAGCGGCGCATTGACCACACGAGACATAATACGACCACCCGTCGCAGAACATTTAGGATACGATGGACAAATAGGTCACCATCGAGATGTATCCTTATGCTTAGGAAGGCAGTAAGCCTTGCCAATCCCACCGTCCTTCTTCCGATTACCAACTTCCAACTTGTTTAAGCAACATATTATCATAGTCAGACCGACACCTCTCCAACAAAGAAAACTCAGACTCAGAGCAATGCGAAAAGGATGGACTGCCAAAGAACAGCCTGCGCATCCCCGCCTCGTTGACTATTTTGGGCATAAAAAAAAAAAAAAAAAAAAAGGAAATGATTGCGCGCTGCGTCAGTACCACCTGGGGCCCCAGTTGATCACAGGTGCAATAAACAAAACATTAAAAACGGGCAAAAATAACTCATAGGTGCCTCAGAGAAGAACCCATGGCCCAACAAATGAGTAGCACCACAGCACGCCCATGGCTGCCCAGAAGTAAGGTGCACGGTCATCATGGCAACCCCCGAAGGGCTCATATCGACGGAGTGGTTTGGCACCTCTTCATCTCGGGGTACTTGCACGGGAATGTGTAGGCGCAAAGCTGGATATATGCTGGGAACTCCGCCGAGTATCCGACCAAATGACAAATGTGTCGGTGCGGACAATCAGCAGGGAAGTCGTACATGTGGTCAGAGATGCGCTGCGCCCCTTAACTACTACATGCCAATATGGCCGGCTGTGCATGCCACATGACCGGGATGTGGTGGGGTGCATGTTCCCGGGAACCTCACAGTCACTGCGGTATGAGGCAGGGAGCATGGACTAGATAAGGAGCAACAAGTGGGTGAGCATGAACACGGCTATGGTACTGATTACATGCGAGTAAACACAGACATTGCAGTAGCAGTGCTGTATCCCGAGGGTAGGACGGCAGTGGCGCACTAGCTAGAATTCGTCGGGGCCAGTGCGAAGCTAGCCCATGTGTGCAGTGCATGGATGGATTTGTGACGCGGGCAGAATGAGGAGGGCATTATCAGCTCTTGCTGTCAGATTCATCCAGGTTGGGCCGTCATTGCAGCCATATACATTTTGGAAAAGGCCCAGCACGAGTATACCCTGAGACAGGGCAAACTGTCTGCAAACTCTGCCACACAACTGGCCTTCTTTTGCCACGTCAGAACTTGGCCGCCAGATGAGACAGGACATGTCAGAAATTGACTGCCATATGGAGAGTGCTGAGTCTGCATATGTTGAATTTTCAATTTTCTGGATGTAAAAATCATGTTATATGCTAGGCTACCAGCCGGGCCGCCCGGGGTTCCCGGGCGGTCCGGCCATGCAAGGACCACGGAAGGTCCCAGCACAAAAAAAAAAAAAAAAAAAAAAAAAAAGACACCGAAAAAACTTCAAAAAAGTATGTTATGCAGAAAAATAAACTGAAGAACTTTTGCCTCAGGGTCACATCAAAATTCGTTACCGGATTTAAAATTAAAAATTTAATGAAAAACTGATTTTATTTTTCTTATTTATTTTTTGGCCCGGCTGGGGAAGTTGTCCCGGGCCACTCTGGTAGCCTAGTGTTTGCTTTGATCTGGCTTCCTTCACTAAGCTTGCAATGCAAAAGAACAACCTTCATCATGTACAGACACTGCAGAGTGATCTGCCTGGTATGAATCCTGCGTGACCCTGTTTTGTCATCGCCCTAATTACTGCCACCTGCCTTAACACCTGCAGAATCTTATTGGAATTGAGCATAATATGCGATACTATGCGCATGTAAACGCCAAGTATCTGTGGGTGGTTACTCTCTCTCTCTCTCTCTCTCTCTCTCTCTCTCTCTCTCTCTCTCTCTCTCTCTCTCTCTCTCTCTCTCTCTCTCTCTCTCTCTCTCTCTCTCTCTCTCTCTCTCTCTGTGTGTGTGTGTGTGTGTGTGTGTGTGTGTGTGTGTATAGACAGAGAGGGTGCAGCCTCCTGATGAATTGCTGAATCGCCGGCAAAACAGTTTGTCACAATCCCTCGTTTGTTGTCGTTATCTCCCTCTTTGCTTACGGTTCACCGGGCGGTTCTCTACTACGGTATATAATATATCTATAATATATATATATATGACATATACATATGTCGATGGCTATCTATCAGATGTAGTTGCACCATGCCCTATGAGATGCGTATGCCCTGTGCTGTCTGCTTGGCTGGATTTGAATCTTTCAGTGAGTTGCAATTCTTAAAACGTTTTCATCAACTGTCCTGAATGTGTTATGTTTCCTTTTCTTTTCTCCCCCTTGAAAAATTATCGCTTGGGCAGGTTCCTGAGAGTGCAAGAAGCTCTGCGTTTGTTTCTTTCGACTGCAAGAGTAAGCAGGTGCTTGGACGGGGGGAAAGTTTAAGTGTTAAGATGAGCGAGCATCCGATGCCCACCGTAAACAAGCATACGGGTACCGATGACTGGTTTGACAGCCTAACGCGCTGTTTCAACTGGAATGAGCGCATTGAGCAGAGGCCGATGTAACGAACATAGAACAGCCGAAAAGAGTGGTGTAGTCTTGTAGAGGCTTTTAGCTTGGCCTTTCTATCTTCAGTCAGGTCAGATTGGGTGGAGACCCCATCAACGGAGGGAAGGGAGGTGGTTTTGTGTTTCGACAGAGTCCGTACTGGCATCCAACCATGATTATTGACCAGAGTTTAGCACTCAAAGAAATGAGCACTGCGCGAAACTTCTGTTTGAGCTATTAATAGACCTACGTGGAATCGTAGGGGATCGCAGGAGTTGAATAGAGTGATGGAGAGAGGCTCAGAAGTTGCGGGTAGGCATTTCCTTGGGAGAGTCGGCTTTGTGTTTCTGTAGCCTTTGCCGGCTTGCAACCAGGATTGACTATAGTGTTTAGCACTGAAAGAAAGGAGCAACGCTGGGAACTTAGCTCTTCGAGCTATATATTTAATAGACCATCATTCGAAAGATACAGAGAAAGAGGAGGAGATTAGCATGGCCCCTGCGCAAGGATGATGGCACATGCGTGAATCGAGATAGAAATGAAATGGTCCAGATTTCTTTGAGAAGAGGAAAAAAGAAATCGATCATCATGGCATCAGAGAAAGAAAAAAAAAACAGGAGTCGAACAGAGTGAGGGAGGCGCTAGGGAGAAGCTTGTTGTAGGTAGGAGGTAGGCCTATGTCCTTACCTTAGTCTTATAGCTTGTATCCATTTTGGAGCAAAACTACCGTGGTGCTCGTTGTGAGAGTAGGGTAGGTAGGTATTTTGATCTTCGCCATGATATGCTAAGATTCTGCAGAATCAATGCTGTGTTGATGAGATTCGTCAGTGCGACGCCACTGTGACGCAGGCTTTATGAGGTCTGCGGTGTTGCTAAATGTGAGGGTGGGAGGCTGTGAGCCAATTGATTTCTCCCACAATCAGTTAACCAACTGATCGATTATGGGATCGATCAATCGGTCGGTCGGTTGGTTATGGGTTGGTTGGTTAGCTAGTTCATTGGTTACCCAAGGGATTGGTTGATTAAACCACCAGTACCTGGCCCAGCTATTGGCCATGGGAAAAAATAGAGTAGAAACGATTATAGTCGGACGAATTTGGGCGCTCCTGTAGTGGCCCGTACATTTCCTAAAATCATGGCGTGGCTTGTTAACGGGGGCACGACTTTAGGAAGTACTGGTGGTTTAATTCATTGGTTGGTTACAATGGTTAGCCAAGTGGTTGGTTGGTTAATTCATTGGTTAGTCAATTGATTGATACAATATCAGTTCGAGTGTAGTGGGGTGTCACTTGTTATGCATTATACAAGTTACAGCCATGATTGATTTGATTGGTTGGATTAAACTTGATGGATTGATTTTGTGTATTACTGTGTCAGGGTGTACTCACACTAGCACTTATATCTTAAATGTATCTGACGGCATTTACGGCTGGACCAGACTGCAACTGGCCGCAATTCCGTCCAGACAAAAGTAAAAGTGTGAGTATGCCCCTCAGTTGTTGATCACCTCAAGTATTCGAACGATGGACTCCAGGTCACGATGCAGATCACTTGGAGGTCCGTACTTTGGTAGTTGGGATCTCGAGTATCGTGTGGTCTGTGTCGCTGTGTTTCGTTCGACTTTCACCATGGTTGATTCCTCAGCCAGTGGATTTTGAGTTTGACCATGGTTGATATCCTCGGTCATTGTATACCAATCGACCATTATTGACTGAAGACTGCAGTCTTGGAATTCTTGTCCGCCTCTTGGTCGGGAGTGATCAATCCCTTAATTTCAATCGAATTGAATCGATACTTCGCCTTGGTTTTAGCTTTCGTTTTGGCAACGTAGTGTGCCTTGGTCTTAGCTTTCGTTTCGGGGTCCTTTTGGAGTTCATTTTCCCGTCTTGGCTTTGACGGTACGTTTCCTTTTTGGATTTCGAGGCTCCCACTCGATTCCGGTTTCTCGTTGGACAACGGCAAGGTCTACGGGCGATTCGCAATTCGCATTTAGTCGTAAATTAGTATGTCACATTTTGCTGCACTCCTCATTGTTGCCAGGGCCAAGATATTTGTTTGCCAACAGCTCCATGGGCGATTTCGGCGACTGCAAGCTCTGAAACTTGGGTCGCCACTTGGACTGGTCGGATAAGCAGTTGGACGCTCGGCACTTGGGACTCCTTGGAGTTCCACGTTCAGAGAAATGGGTGATCCATTCCTCCTGTGATGGTAGGAGGTCAGTGGTTAGTGTGCTTTGGGTTCCGACTGGCATTTATTTTGTCGCCTGTGGCGTGGACCCATGAATGAGTGTCTTGGGCGCTTACGGCTTTGAAGAAGCAATGCCTTAGATCGACGAAGTGCTCTTGGGGTCTCCTTTCGGATCAATTCTTGGACCAGGTTCAGTCGATGAATCTGCGACCTTGGGCTGTGAGTGAGGAATTGGCCGGCGGCTTTGACAAGCACTGGTGTAGCGAAATTCCTCGACGAAGGGGTATTTTCTTAATTGCTGACTCGATTTTGAGAAGCGGTTGATTGTGGGTTTAAACTCATATTTAGCTACGAGCAAACGCCCTTTGGCACATGTTCCCGGGTTTTGGGGTGAAACCCAGAAAGGCGGCGCCGATGGCTTGCCCCGACTATGGGCTTTGACTGTGGGACTCATGATTCCTGGAACCCTTTGGGTCTGTCAGACTCGCTGAATCTAGAATTCTGTGGAGAGATGGTTGCAGCAGTGGTACTCGTCAACGTCGAGAGCAGGTTTTTGTGCTGAGTGGGACTGGTGAGGCAGAGAAGGGTGTAGCCAGTGTACAATTCACTGTACAAATGATACTGCATGGTACGTAGTACGTACACATAGTGAGGAGTTGCCTTTTTACTGCACGCAATTGCAGCACTGGACTTATTTTGTACAACTTCCTTAGCAGTAGATAGTCATTAGAAGTGGAGTACATTTATATATATATATATATATATATATATATCGTCAAATAGAACTGCCCATGTACTCCACTTCTAATGACTATGAGTCGGTGAAACTCCGACGAAACAGTTTGTCACAGCCCCTCGTTTGTAGTCCTCTTCTCTCTCTCTGCCTACGGTTTTACCGGGCAGTTCTGTTTGTGACGATATATATATATATGTGAAGTAATAATTGTTATATGAATTGTAACGGTCTGCAACCGATGCGCTTCTTGTTCTTTTTCTGTACAGCTACATGTTCCATTTCTGTGCAGCTCCATCTATACCCCTCCTGACTCATTGGCGTGGTTCGCTACAGCCATTGGACTTAACAGGGCAATGGCGCCCGCGGATAGAATGGCTTATAGCTTGAAAGGGTGCCATGACATGTTCTGTGATGGGCTGCTCGATAGACTAGCACTGCATTCTCTTTGAATTAGGTGAATCTGACATCTCTGTGGGTAGAGCAAGCAGTGCCACGCACATGCAAGTGTGCCTGCAGGCGAGGATGTGTGAGATTCTGAGCAATCAGCAAGGAGGTTTGTGACTGTCTGAGGAAAGACTGTGATAGTAAAGGCGAGTGAGCTTTCACTTGCACTAACTGAGAGTTACAGACGTACTATAGTACTGTTAACTCGAGTTATGCTCGCACTGTGCTTACAGGGAACTGGTTATCCACTTACTGCAGAAGTTACTGTAGTTAACAGGTAACTGCAGCTAGTGTCACCAGTCACACAATTGTGTGTGTGTGTCTGTGTGTGTGTGTGTGTGTGTGTGTGTGTGTGTGTGTGTGTGTGTGTGTGTAAAGGTGGGAGTATGTGAAGGTGGGAATCAAAGCAGTTTCAGTAACTGTTACTGTGGTAGTTGCATTTACTGCAGTGAAGCCCAGCAGCAGTAAGCAGTTATGTGGCGTGCTGTCATGTATGGTTGAGCGTAAAGGTGGGACTCAAAGCAGATGCAGTAACTATTACGGTTACTGTGCGAGTTGCAGTTACTATGGTAAATTCCAGCATAAGTATAGCAGTTAAGCAACCCTTTCACCAGCGCTACGAATTTCTCACAGGCAATCTCTCACTTGAGAATTTGCACTCCAGCCGTGCATGGTTGTGCATAAACTCTTACTATTACTGTTACTGTTACTGTGATCTGTACATGGAATCACAACAGTTAGTACATGGTGTGCTGCCGTGGATGGTTTTGCATAAAGGTGGGAGTGAGTCAAAACAGTTTCAGTAACTGTTCCAGCGTTAGTTGCTTTTACTGCAGTTAAGAAAAGCGAGCAGCAGTAAGCACTCACATGGTGTGCTGTCACGTATGGCTGAGCGTAAAGGTGGGACTCACAGCAGTCGCGGTAACTGTTACTGCGGTAGTTTCTTTACTGTGGTAAATCCCTGCAACAGTAAGCAGTTACATGGTGTGTGGCTGTGCGTGGTCGTGCATGAAGGTGGGAGTTATAGTAGTTTCTGTAACTGTTGCAGCGGTTGTCGCAGTTACTGCAGTAAAACCGAGCAACAGTAAGCGGCCGCATGGCGTGCTGTCATGCAAAGTTTCTAGCTGGGTGGTGTTTGCTTCAAAATTTGGTGTGTGACGCGGGCTGCCCCTCCCCCCCCCCCCCCCCTGGACACTCCGGCAGTGATTGCAACCGCCCACCTGAACCTCATATGTTGTGATATTTCATCCTGGACACTCCGGCGGTTCGAACAGAAATTTTCACAGTATGGTCTCATCTTCCATTTCATTGGGCAACTTCTGTTACCAAGATAAGTGTGCTCAGCCGATGCTCGACCGTGCTGGCGTCAACGTTGCTGCTTCTCGTCAAGTTGTATTTCACAGACACAGCAAGTGGTGTCTGTCTGCTTAAAGATTGAGAGCTTTTCGGTCGCGATGTATAATGGTCGGGGACTTTCAAAACTTCACCCAATCTGTGATTGGGGGCAATGGCAGCTGCTGAGGAGGTTGAGAAACTGGCTGAACCAAGAGGACAAAAGAGCACAACAGACAGGAAGATCATTGGAGGTGGGGTGGTCTCTCTCTCTCTCTCTCTCTCTCTCTCTCTCTCTCTCTCTCTCTCTCTCTCTCTCTCTCTCTCTCTCT